TAAAATAACTTTAAACAATCACTTAAATTAATCACTTTAATGTCCACTTTAAAGCTAGGAATAAAAATAAACATATGTTTTGTGTTAGCAGAATTTAATTCTAACTTTAAAACTTATTAATAAAACTTCAAGTTGCCTTTTTGGACATGCATGCATATATTTGTACAAATTGTACTTGAGAGGAGATTATTACAGCCTCATGTAAAATCAATGATCATGATATCGGAACTGGATCGGTATCAGCTGATATTTAGATTTAGATTTAAATATCAGGATCGGATCGGAAGTAAAAAAAAAATAGTGGATCGGTGCATCTCTATTAGCAATACAAGCAGCACAGATTTATTTATTTTTTTTAGCTAAATGATGGGTAACTTTACTCCAAAGCTAAAATAAAATAAAAACCTAAAACGAGCAAAAATGGACAAAACAAGCAGGACAGAACAAAAGTCTGTTAGCTAAAAGCTAAGTTGACCAAAACCACAGCAAAAAGCTAAAACAGGCAAAACAAGCGCCAACGATATGTTTAACTAGAAGATGGATTGAATTAAAGGTTAAAATTTAACAATATCTAATAGCCAAAAATAAATGAAATTGTAGCCACACTCTTAAGTTGCTAAAACTAGCAAACCCCAAACCAAAAGCTAAAAATGGCTAAATTTAAAGCTTGCACGAATTTAAAGCTAAAAGTTTCACAGAGAAACAAAATGGATCAAGTATGTTAAAGTAGATTTTAAACTATGATTCCTAAGAATATGTGTCAGAATATGTGTTTTTCTCTTAATAAAGATTTGTAAATAAAGGTAACGAATATTAAAATTTTAATGTTACAAATGCTAAAAGTCAAAGCATTAGCCTTGAGCTAAACATTTTAATATATAGGGTATTACAAAATTTGCTGAAATAATTAACAAAAATAAATAAATCTAAGAAATTAAACAGGAAAAGTGTGATCAGAGTTATAACTTGATCCACTGAATCATAAGGAATAATTAGGCCTGTCACGATAACATGTTTTGCTGGGCGATTAATCGTCTCAGAAATTATTCCGATAAACAATAATATTGTTTGAAATTTGACAATAATTAGTAATTATTGTCGAATTTAATAAGAAATGTTTAATTTGTTTTGCGTGTAGTACCTTTTGTCCACCACTGGATGGCAGTGTAAGACGGTTTGAACGAAAGGATGGATAGTGAGGGAGCGAGCAGCGTCTCTTTAAGATAAATGGGAGGGGGGCCCATTGACGTGACATGGGCTCT